ATGTCTACAGGAGTCGAGTCCTATATGTCAATGTTCGCGGGTGACGCAAATTAATGAGACGAGTTGTGACAGGTGAGGATTGTAGGATACTCCAAGAGGACTTGAACAAGCTGCAGAGATGGTCAGAGTAATGGCTACTGGAGTTCAACACGAGTAAGTGTAAAGTAATGGAAATGGGACTAGGTGATAGGAGACCAAATGGTCAGTACACAATGAAGGAAACTATCATCCTGTGACGACTCGTGAAAGAGACCTTAGGGGGGGGTGGACGTAACACCGAATCTAACTCCTGAGGCACATATAAATAGGATAACGACAGCAGCGTACTCTACACTGGCAAAAGTTAGAACATCATTCAGAAACCTAAATAAGGAGGTATTCAGAGCGTCTTACACCGCCTACGTGAGACCAGTCTCAGAGTTTGTCGTCTCATCATGGAGCCCCCCCCCCCCCCACTTACAGAAACACATTAGGAAACTGGAAATGGTTAAAAAATTTGCGACGAGGCTAGTCCCGGAGTTGCATGGGATGGGATATGAAGAGTGACTGAAGGAACTGAACCTGACGGCATTAGAAAAAAGGAGAGAGCGTGGAGATATGATAGCAGCATACAAAATACTTTGGAAGGTTGACAGAGTGGAAATAGACGAAATGTTCACACGGCATACCAACAGAACAAGGGGACATGGGTGGAGCTGGAAACTTCACCCATGAGTCATAGAAATGTTAGGAAGTTTTCTTTTAGCGTGAGAGTAGTGGGGAATAGATTGAACTAAAGGAGCACATTGTGGAATCAAACACTATTCATAGCTTTAAAACTAGGTATAATAGAAAGGTAGGACAGGAATCATTGCCTTAAACAACCGATGGCTAGAAAGGCGGGATCCAAGAGCCAACGCTCGATCCGGAAGCACAAATAGGTGAGAACACACACACACACACACTTCAGTTAGGTTTGTTAGGCACGACTTTCCCTTCCTAAATCGATACTGACCTCTCCAGATGGGCCACCATTCTTAACCTGTTTACCTTCTCCGGCACTCTACACGGAACGCTTGACAACAACACGGGTGTAGTGTAGTGTCTGCTGACTGGCCTCTTTCTCTGAATATTGGGACTATGCCTTTTCCCACACTTCTGGGACACTTCAAGTCTCAAGCATTTTATTAAAAAATTTTGGTAAGAGATGACAAATTATTTCTGCAGCCTTCGTACCTGGAATCAGACGGCTGCTACGGGCTGCTTCCTGTGTGTGTGTGTGTGTGTGTGTGTGTGTGTGTGTGTGTGTGTGTGTGTGTGTGTGTGTGTGTGTGTGTGTGTGTGTGTGTGTGTGTGTGTGTATTAGAGAGAAATATATGTAGTAGACATATGAGGAAAATAGATTGGTTAGAAAGGCGGGATCCAAGAGCTAACAGCTTGATTCTGCAGGTACAAATAATAAATACAAATAATAGATAAACACACACACACACACACACACACACACACACACACACACACACACACACACACACACACACACACACACACACACACACACACACACACACACTGTCTCCTGAAGCCCACATAAAGAGAATAACGTCTGCGGCATATGCGAGGCTGGCTAACATCAGAACGGCGTTCAGGAACCTGTGTAAGGAATCATTCAGAATCTTGTACACCACATATGTAAGACCAATCCTGGAGTATGCGGCCCCAGCATGGAGCCCGTACCTTGTCAAGCACAAGACGAAGCTGGAAAAACTCCAAAGGTATGCTACTAGACTAGTCCCAGAACTAAGAGGCATGAGTTATGAGGAAAGGCTGCGGGAAATGCACCTTACGACACTGGAAGACAGAAGAGTAAGGGGGGACATGATCACAACCTACAAAATCCTCAGGGGAATCGACCGGGTAAACAAGGATGAACTATTCAACACTGGTGGGACGCGAACAAGGGGACACAGGTGGAAGCTGAGTACCCAAATGAGCCACAGAGACGTTAGAAAGAACTTTTTCAGTGTCAGAGTAGTTAGTAAATGGAATGCATTAGGAAGTAATGTGGTGGAGGCTGACTCCATACACAGTTTCAAATATAGATATGATAGAGCCCAATAGGCTCAGGAATCTGTACACCAGTTGATTGACGGTTGAGAGGCGGGACCAAAGAGCCAGAGCTCAACCCCGCAAGCACAATTAGGTGAGTACAATTAGGTGAGTACACACACACACACATACACACACACACACACACACGCACGCACACACACGCACGCACACACACACACACATGTCCAGGGGCCTCGTAGCCTGGTGGATAGCGCGCAGGACTCTTAATTCTGTGGCGCGGGTTCGATTCCCGCACGAGGCAGAAACAAATGGGCAAAGTTTCTTTCACCCTAAGTGCCCCTGTTACCTAGCAGTAAATAGGTACCTGGGAGTTAGTCAGCTGTCACGGGCTGCTTCCTGGGGTGTGTGTGTGTGTGTGGTGTGGGAAAAAAAAAAAAAAAAAAAAAAAAAAAAAAAAAAAAAAAAAAGTAGTTAGTAAACAGTTGATTGACAGTTGAGAGGCGGGCCGAAAGAGCAAAGCTCAACCCCCGCAAAAACACAACTAGTAAAACACAACTAGTAAACACACACACACACACACACACACAAACTGGAAAAGGTTGAAAGGTTTGCCACCAGACTAGTACCCGAGCTGAGAGGTATGAGCTACGAGGAGAGACTACGGGAATTAAACCTCACTTCGCTGGAAGACAGAAGAGTTAGGGGGGACATGATCACCACATTCAAGATTCTGAAGGGGATTGATAGGGTAGATAAAGACAGTCTATTTAACACAAGGGGAACACGCACAAGGGGACACAGGTGGAAACTGAGTGCCCAAATGAGCCACAGAGATATTAGAAAGAACTTTTTTAGTGTCAGAGTGGTTGACAAATGGAATGCATTAGGGGGTGATGTGGTGGAGGCTCACTCCATACACAGTTTCAAGTGTAGATATGACAGAGCCCAATAGGCTCAGGAATCTGTACACCTGTTGATTGACGGTTGAGAGGCGGGACCAAAGAGTCAGAGCTCAACCCCCGCAAACACAACTAGGTGAGTACAACTAGGTGAGTACACACACACACACACACACACACACACACACACACACACACACACACACACACACACACACACACACACACACACACACACACACACACACACACGGGACCAAAGAGCCAAAGCTCAACCCCCGCTAGCACAAATAGGTGAGTACACATAGGGGGATAGACAGGAGGCAATGAACTTGCATACCATGCCAGCTGATGGAGAAGATTGTGCGAAAAAAAGCTAGTGCAACATCTACAGCAAAAGAACTTTGTAGCGCATGCCTCACAGGATTAATTGAATTCTACGACCAGGCAACAAAAACCAGGCAAGAAAGAGAAGGGTGGGCAGACTGCATTTTTTGGATTGCCAGAAAGCCTGTGACACAGTACCACACAAGAGACTTGTGAAAAAGCTTGAGGTGCAGGCAGGAGTGAAAGGGAAGGTACTCCATTGGATAAGAGAGTACCTAAGCAACAGAAGACAGCGAGTCACTGTGAGGGGTGAGGTCTCAGATTGGCGAGACGTTACGAGTGGAGTCCCGCAGGGGTCAGTCCTTGGACCTATACTGTTTCTGATATATGTAAATGATCTCCCAGAGGTTATAGAATTGTTTCTCTCATTGATTGATCTCTCATTGTTTGCTGATTATGCAAAACTTATGAGGAGGATAAAAACGGAGGAAGATAGTAGGAGGCTACAAGATGACCTAGACAGACTGAATGAATGGTCCAACAAATGGCTACTAAAGTTCAACCCAAGTAAACTAGGCGGTGGAAACAGGAGGCCAGACACAGGATACCGAATAGGATATGAAGTACTTCATGAAACGGACAGTGAGAAAGATCTAGGGGTTGATATCACACCAAACCTGTCTCCTGAAGCCCACATAAAAAGAATTACATCTGCGGCATATGCGAGGCTGGCTAACATCAGAACAGCTTTCAGGAACCTGTGTAAGGAATCATTTAGGAGTATGCGGCCCCAACATGGAGCCTGTACCTTGTCAAGCACAAGACGAAGCTGGAAAAAGTTCAGAGGTATGCCACTAGGCTAGTCTCAGAACTAAGAGGCATGAGTTACGAGGAAAGGCTGCGGGAAATGCACCTCACGACACTGGAAGACAGAAGAGCTCGGGCAGACGTGATCACTACCTACAAAATTCTCAGAAGAATTGACAGGGTAGATAAGGATAAACTGTTTAACACAGGTGGTACGCGAACAAAGGGGCACAGGTGGAGATGAATACTCAAATGAGCCACAGGGACGTTAGAAAGAACTTTTTAAGTGTTAGAGTAATTAAAAGGTGGAATGCATTAGGCAGTGATGTGGTGGAGGCTGACTCCATTCACAGTTTCAAATGTAGATATGATAGCGCCCAATAGTCTCAGGAATCTGTATATCAGTTGATTGACAGTTGAGAGGCGGGACCAAAGAGCCAGAGCTCAACCCCCGCAAGCACAACTAGGTGAGTACAAGTAGGTGAGTACACATGCACACACACACACACACACACACACCTGGTGGCCTGGGGGGCCCTGGTAGCCTGGTGGATAGCGCGCAGGACTCGTAATTCAGTGGCGCGGGTTCGAGTCCCGCACCAGGCAGAAACAAATGAACAAAGTTTCTTTCACCCTGAATGCCCTGTTACCTAGCAGTAAATAGGTACCTTGGAGTTAGTCAGCTGTCACGGGCTGCTTCCTGGTGTGTGTGGGTGGTGTGGAGAGAGAAAAAAAAAAGTAGTTAGTAAACAATTGAGAGGCGGGCCGAAAGAGCAGAGCTCAACCCCCGCAAACACAACTAAGTGAATACACACACACACACACACACACACACACACACACACACACACACACACACACACACACACACACACACACACACACACACACACACACACACACACACACACTAACTCTTGCCGAAGCCGATGCTGATGTTGACGTAGTGCGCCGGGGAGACCTTGTCCTCCAGGAAGATGGGCGGGATGACCTCACTCCACATCCTGAAGGCCAGCGCCAGGGACGCCCTCTGCGCCCCCACCTCCAGCTGCGAGCTGTACCCAGACGTCACCAGCCGCCATGTGATCAGTTCCTGAAGGAGTAGGAGGCGGAGCATAGCCTTAGTGGGAAGTGTGTAGTAGTAGTAGGGCATGCTGGAGAGTAACGGTGCACGGGAGTGTGTAAAGAGGAAGTGGAGGAATTTTGGCTAAGAGGTGAATTAGGCGGTTAATTGTGCAGGTGGAGGAGGACTGAAGATGTCCATCAGGGTAAACAGTTCACCATGATGCGAACTGTTTGACTATAGCGGGAGGCGTCGTCGGGGTGGTGGTTCACGGTCACTTTGTTAACCGGAGTACAGTGAACCGCTTGTCTGACGGCTGCCGTCTGTGTTGCTAGGAACCAGGCAGTGAAACCTGGCTCCTGTCTGCCAGAGAGTTATCACACCATTCACACCCGTTGTCATGAGGTACCTGGAGCTGTGCAATTACTTTATTCACTCTCGTGTTCTTGAAGATAGCCTAATAATGCACCCAGAATTTGCCAGTGCAGGCTACTTATCACGTGCCTCTGTATGACTAACCATCCTGCGAGATGGGAATTTTAGCCAACGTAGCTAGCTTTTAGACATACAATGTACTCCCCTTCATATAGTCTAGGGTAGCTGCACAAATGCAAATGTACCTATGTATATAAAAAATACAAATACAAATACAAATAATTACCTCTACACTGCTCAAGGTTTTCCTGCACAAAGTCATAAATGATATTCCCACCCTAGCTGAGGGAGCCAGTGTGTTGTGAGAGGTGGAGCCCCACTGCGGCTAGAGGCGGGGTCCAGCTTGGCAGTGTTCGTACCAATACAAAACTGCTACGAACACCCACACGCTGGACCCCGCCTCTACTGGGGTCTCTTCCTACTATAAGTGCGGAATGTAATGGAATTATGTCTAACAAAACCTAGAGATCTTCATAAGCACAAAATAACAAATATCCCTCTAGCCTATAAGTGCAACTACCAATGTTTTGTAAACGACCTACATCATAGGTTACAAGAAAGACTTAAACTACTGAATGCACTTACTGGTAATGGTATCAATGTTAAATATGGTAGAGTGTTTTACATGTTAGATCCCCAGTTAATTATCATGCCTTGCTCGTAACCAGCTTCCCCGTCTCTGTTCTGAACAAACTAGAGGTAACACAGGATGAAGTCATGAGTGTGATTCTTAGTGCCCCAAGATGCACAAAATGTCTCACCATGAGGGAAGAACTGAAGCTTCCAACCATACCAGAGAAAAATCCTGCAGGTTAACACGACTTTTTTCACTAAAGTCACGAGAGAGCCAACATCGCCAGTAGTGCCCAGGGACCAACTATATGGTGCTCCTAAAACTCTACTCTAAAGTCACTGGTGCCCACATACCACCTCACTCCTTGTATGATAAATGATTGTGTAAAAATCCTTCAAACTCATCAAATTGAATATTTCTTTTAGATGTAATCTACCTGTCACTGATATCCGTCCTTTTGTACACCACATCCAAGAATCTGACACACCCGCACAAACACAACTACCTGTACTGAAACTTGCTGCCAGTATACTAAAAAAAAAATAAGAGGAATAAACATTTTTTTATTCAAAGTCTGCTCTTCAAGCGTTTGAAAACTTTTGCAAGATCGACAGTAAGAGCCTCAAAATAGCAACCGTAAATATCCTGTTTGCTACACAGGATAACTTATCCTTGCTACTCAGCTATGATACAGAAAGCCAAATTAACGTGTAACAAGGATGAACTTGAACTTGGTATTCCCATCTCTGTTGTTAAGAATATATTATTGCAAACACTCAGCTCTGATAGGAGAGAAATTACTGCCTCCCAGCGGCCTGCAAGAACAGTGATGATTTGTTTAGATTTGCAACCTATGTACAAGGGTAGCACAACATGTCCGCCAGACAGTGCGACCGAGTGGTTGCCAGGATCAGGTTGGGCTATCGTTACCTGTGTCAGGTACCTACAGGAGGCGCATCTCCCAACCTTGAGCACTCCATACGTAAACTTTGTGCGGAAGAACTCTTTCATGTTCTCACACAGTACATTACAAATATCCAGCCACTAGGTATTTCTAGGTACTTGAAGCATTGCAATTATTTCATCCACTCAGTGTTCTTGAGGATATCCTTCTAATGCAGCCAAAGCTTGCCTCTTGATCACGTGGCCCTGTATGACTAACCATCCGGCGAGATGGGGAGGTTTAGCCTGACGTAGCCAGCTCATAACACACACACTCTCCAACCCTTCATATAGCCTGTAGCACCTCCATACTTGCACACATAACTTTGTTAATGAAAACATTGAACAGTTCTTGAAATAGTTAAAATGATTGGATGTATGTTACCTAAATATATATACCCCTAAATATATATATACACTGAACAATCTCCAGTGTGGTGGTGATCTTACACTGAACAATCTCCAGTGTGGTGATCTTACACTGAACAATCTCCAGTGTGGTGGTGATCTTACACTGAACAATCTCCAGTGTGGTGGTGATCTTACACTGAACAATCTCCAGTGTGGTGATCTTACACTGAACAATCTCCAGTGTGGTGGTGATCTTACACTGAACAATCTCCAGTGTGGTGATCTTACACTGAACAATCTCCAGTGTGGTGGTGATCTTACAGATGACAAACTGCAATATGGTGACCTCTTACTGTCAAGAGTTAAGACACACCACACGACCTCAGAGCTGAGTCTTCCTCCCGACCACCGACCACCTGCCCGTCTACACTAACACTATGGAGAATATGAAGCAAGCAGAAAATAATAGAAAAGCAGAGATGGTGAACTAAGAACAAAGACGATATTTTGAGCAAAGAGAGTCGAGGACCCAAGAACAAAGACAGGGAACGAACGAAGCTCACCTCATTGAAGGGACGTCCGAGGTGGGAGAAGATAGACCTCTTGCCTCGTGGGGTGTGGGTCGTGGGGTGGGCGTCTCTCCCTGCCAGGTGGGTCGTGGGGTGGGCGCCTCTCGCTGCCAGGTGGGTCGTGGGGTGGGCGTCTCTCCCTGCCAGGTGGGTCGTGGGGTGGGCGCCTCTCGCTGCCAGGTGGGTCGTGAGGGCGGCCAGGCGGGCGTCCTCTTCCCCGGAGTTGATCTTCTCCACCAGCTCCTCAACCCACCGCCGGCGCCGCCTCCGAGCTTCCTGTGGGAGTACACACACACACACACACCTGTAACACTTGTGATGGTCATACATGTGCAGCTCTACACTGCTTGAGTGACACATGTGCAGCTCTCCACTACATGAGTGACACATGTGGAGCTCTCCACTACATGAGTGACACATGTGGAGCTCTCCACTACTTGAGCGGCCTGTGGTGACACAAGGTGTTGATATACCTATAGAGACTATGGTAAAGTATAGAGGTGTAGCTGGAGCAGCAACTCACCGTAGGGTGAGGTTCCCACTCGAGGTGCTCCTCCACCGGAGGGTGTCTGGCCCTCGTGGCGTCCCTCAGCTCCTGGGCCACCTCCCTCAGCCGCTGCTGGTCCGGCATCGTCTCCTCCAAGCCTTCTTCACTCTCAGGACCCGTCGGCTCGAGGTCCTCCTCAACGGAAGTAGCACTTCGACGCGGGCGGCTTGAGTACTGGGTCACCTGGTCATCGCCGAGGTCATCAAGAGGCACTCTTGGTGTTTTGAGGGCCTCGTGGTCCATGAGTGTGTCAGGGTTGCCACAGCGAGGACTGGACAGCAGTCCAACTGTGGCAGAGTCCAGGGCGCCGCCGCCACCCACGTGGTACACTGTCTGTATGTACACCAAGGGTGTTGTTAGTACACACACACACACACACACACACACACACACACACACACACACACACACACACACACACACACACACACACACACACACACACACACACACACACACACCTGAAACTGCCACCTGAAGCCCACATCAAAAGAATAACATCTGCGGCATATGCGAGGCTGGCTAACATCAGAACAGCGTTCAGGAACCTGTGTAAGGAATCATTCAGAATCTTGTACACCACATATGTAAGACCAATCCTGGAGTATGCGGCCCCAGCATGGAGCCCGTACCTTGTCAAGCACAAGACGAAGCTGGAAAAAGTCCAAAGGTATGCGACTAGGCTAGTCCCAGAACTAAGAGGCATGAGTTACGAGGAAAGGTTGTGTGAAATGCACCTCAGGACACTGGAAGACAGAAGAGTAAGGGGAGACATGATCACTACCTACAAAATTTTCAGAGAAATTGATAGGGTAGATAAAGATAAACTGTTTAACACGAGTGGTACGCGAACAAGGGGACACAGGTGGAAACTGAGTACCCACATGAGCCACAGATACGTTAGAAAGAACTTTTTCAGTGTCAGAGTAGTTAACAGATGGAATGCATTAGGCAGTGATGTGATGGAGGCTGACTCCATACACAGTTTCAAATGTAGATATGATAGAGCCCAGTAGGCTCAGGAATCTGTACACCAGTTGATTGACAGTTGAGAGGCGGGACCAAAGAGCCAAAGCTCAACCCCCGCAAGCACAACTAGGTGAGCACACACACACACACCCACCTTCCTTACACAATTACTTAGTTACACCACTACACAAACTGTTCAGACTTCTACAGCTCATTTCTCTCTCTTATCTTGTGCCTTGTAAAGATATATAACAATTTAAGACAATAAACATATCAAATAAGAACGATATTTAAACAAAATAAATCTAATCAAAAACATGTTGCTGATAATCTTCCTGTTGAACTTAAGTTGCCAACCAGCAACATTACGAACAGTTAAACACGTCTTGTTTGGCAGCATGAAGGTCGTGCTGAGGTGGGCGTCGACACCCGGCCACCACACCCGAGGTATACTCCCATACAGGTATACTCCCATACAGGTATACTCCCATACAGGTATACTCCCATACAGGTATACTCCCATACAGGTATACTCCCATACAGGTATACTCCCATACAGGTATACTCCCATACAGGTATACTTCCATACAGGTATACTCCCATACAGGTATACTCCCATACAGGTATACTCCCATACAGGTATACTTCCATACAGGTATACTCCCATACAGGTATACTTCCATACAGGTATACTCCCATACAGGTATACTCCCATACAAGTATACTACCATACAGGTATACTCCCATACAGGTATACTCCCATACAAGTATACTACCATACATGTATACTTCCATACAGGTATACTCCCATACAGGTATACTCCCATACAGGTATACTCCCATACAGGTATACTCCCATACAGGTATACTCCCATACAAGTATACTACCATACAGGTATACTCCCATACAGGTATACTCCCATACAGGTATACTTCCATACAGGTATACTCCCATACAGGTATACTCCCATACAGGTATACTCCCATACAGGTATACTCCCATACAGGTATACTCCCATACAGGTATACTCCCATACAGGTATACTCCCATACAGGTATACTCCCATACAGGTATACTCCCATACAGGTATACTACCAAACAGGTATACTCCCATACAAGTATACCACCATACAGGTATACTCCCATACAGGTATACTACCATACAGGTATACTCCCATACAGGTATACTCCCATACAAGTATACTACCATACAGGTATACTACCATACAGGTATACTCCCATACAAGTATACTACCATACAGGTATACTCCCATACAGGTATACTCCCATACAGGCATACTCCCATACAGGTATACTCCCATACAGGTATACTCCCATGCAGGTATACTCTCATACAGGTATACTACCATACAGGTATACTCCCATACAGGTATACACCCCATACAGGTATACTCCCATGCAGGTATACTCCCCATACAGGTATACTCCCCATGCCGGTATACTCCCATGCAGGTATACTCCCCATGCCGGTATACTCCCATGCAGGTATACTCCCCATACAGGTATACTCCCATGCAGGTATACTCCCATACAGGTATACTCCCATACAGGTATACTCCCATACAGGTATACAACCATACAGGTATGCTCCCATACAGGTATACTCACCATACAGGTATACTCCCATACAGGTATACTCCCATACAGGTATACTCCTATTCAGGCATACTCCCATACAGGTATACTCCCCATACAGGTATACTCCCATACATGTATACTCCCCATACATGTATACTCCCCATACAGGTATACTCCCATACAGGTATACTCCCCATACAGGCATACTACCATACAGGTATACTCCCATCCCATACAGGTATACTCCCATACAGGTATACTACCATACAGGTATACTACCATTCAGGTATACTCCGATACAGGTATACTCCCATACAGGTATACTCCCATACAGGTATACTACCATACAGGTATACTACCATACAGGTATACTCCCATACAGGTATACTACCATACAGGTATACTACCATACAGGTATACTCCCATACAGGTATACTCCCATACAGGTATACTACCATACAGGTATACTCCCATACAGGTATACTCCCATACAGGTATACTCCCATACAGGTATACTACCATACAGGTATACTCCCATACAGGTATACTCCCATACAGGTATACTACCATACAGGTATACTACCATACAGGCATACTCCCATACAGGTATACTACCATACAGGTATACTCCCATACAGATATACTCCCATACAAGTATACTACCATACAGGTATACTCCCATACAGATATACTCCCATACAAGTATACTACCATACAGGTATACTACCATACAGGTATACTACCATACAGGCATACTACCATACAGGTATACTACCATACAGGTATACTACCATACAGGTATACTACCATACAGGTATACTACCATACAGGTATACTCCCATACAGGTATACTACCATACAGGTATACTCCCATACAGATATACTCCCATACAAGTATACTACCATACAGGTATACTCCCATACAGGTATACTACCATACAGGTATACTCCCATACAGGTATACTCCCATACAAGTATACTACCATACAGGTATACTCCCATACAGATATACTCCCATACAAGTATACTACCATACAGGTATACTCCCATACAGATATACTCCCATACAAGTATACTACCATACAGGTATACTACCATACAGGTATACTACCATACAGGCATACTCCCATACAGGTATACTCCCATACAGGTATACTACCATACAGGTATACTACCATACCATACAGATATACTCCCATACACAGTATACTACCATACAGGTATACTCCCATACAGGTATACTACCATACAGGTATACTACCATACAGGTATACTACCATACAGGTATACTACCATACAGGCATACTCCCATACAGGTATACTCCCATACAGGTATACTCCCATACAAGTATACTACCATACAGGTATACTCCCATACAGAAATACTCCCATACAAGTATACTACCATACAGGTATACTACCATACAGGTATACTACCATACAGGCATACTACCATACAGGTATACTACCATACAGGCATACTACCATACAGGTATACTCCCATACAGATATACTCCCATACAAGTATACTACCATACAGGTATACTACCATACAGGTATACTACCATACAGGTATACTACCATACAGGTATACTACCATACAGGTATACTACCATACAGGCATACTACCATACAGGTATACTACCATACAGGCATACTACCATACAGGTATACTCCCATACAGATATACTCCCATACAAGTATACTACCATACAGGTATACTACCATACAGGTATACTACCATACAGGTATACTACCATACAGGTATACTACCATACAGGTATACTACCATACAGGCATACTACTATACAGGTATACTACCATACAGGCATACTACCATACAGGTATACTCCCATACAGATATACTCCCATACAAGTATACTACCATACAGGTATACTCCCATACAGATATACTCCCATACAAGTATACTACCATACAGGTATACTACCATACAGGTATACTCCCATACAAGTATACTACCATACAGGTATACTCCCATACAGATATACTCCCATACAAGTATACTACCATACAGGTATACTCCCATACAGATATACTCCCATACAGATATACTACCATACAGGTATACTACCATACAGGTATACTACCATACAGGCATACTACCATACAGGTATACTCCCATACAGATATACTCCCATACAAGTATACTACCATACAGGTATACTCCCATACAGATATACTCCCATACAGATATACTACCATACAGATATACTACCATACAGGTATACTACCATACAGGTATACTACCATACAAGTATACTACCATACAGGTATACTCCCATACAGATATACTCCCATACAAGTATACTACCATACAGGTATACTCCCATACAGATATACTCCCATACAGATATACTACCATACAGGTATACTACCATACAGGTATACTACCATACAGGCATACTACCATACAAGTATACTACCATACAGGTATACTACCATACAGGTATACTACCATACAGGCATACTACCATACAAGTATACTACCATACAGGTATACTCCCATACAGATATACTCCCATACAGATATACTACCATACAGGTATACTACCATACAGGTATACTACCATACAAGTATACTACCATACAGGTATACTCCCATACAGGTATACTACCATACAGGTATACTACCATACAGGCATACTCCCATACAGGCATACTACCATACAGGTATACTACCATACAGGTATACTACCATACAGGCATACTCCCATACAGGTATACTACCATACAGGTTTACTCCCCATACAGGCATACTCCCCATACTCCCATACAGGTATACTCCCATACAGGTATACTCCCATACAGGTATACTCCCATCCCATATAGGCATACTCCCATACAGGCATACTCCCATACAGGCATATTACCATACAAGCATACTCCCATACAGGTATACTCCCATTCAGGTATACTCCCATTCAGGTATACTCCCATTCAGGTATACTCCCATACAGGTATACTCCCATGCAGGTATACTCCCTTACAGGCATACTCCCATACAGGTATACTCCCATACAGGTATACTCCCTTACAGGTATACTCCCATACAGGTATACTCTCATACAGGTATACTCCCTTACAGGCATACTCCCATACAGGTATACTCCCATTCAGGTATACTCCCATACAGGTATACTCCCATACAGGTATACTCCCTTACAGGCATACTCCCATACAGGCATACTCCCATACAGGTATACTCCCATTCAGGTATACTCCCATATAGGTATACTCCCATACAGGTATACTCCCTTACAGGCATACTCCCATACAGGCATACTCCCATACAGGTATACTCCCATTCAGGTATACTCCCATATAGGTATACTCCCATACAGGTATACTCCCTTACAGGCATACTCCCATACAGGCATACTCCCATACAGGCTTCTCATACATATACATTGCGATGTATTTACCTGGAACTTGGTGATAGCGTGTTGTATCTGTGAGAGGGAGCAGACGGGGAGGTGATGGAGCCTGGAGGTGTCGGGGTCCCAAACCGCAACTGTCGGGGGGCGCCGCTCCTGCTGCAGGCTGCCCCCCGCGCGCTTCCTGGCGCCCCAGGCTGGAGACAGCAGATCCTGGCGTGCTGATGGTACGTCTAGGTTCTCTGCTGGGGACGTCCTCTCCCCCAGTACTCTCCCTACCTTGTGGTGGACAGTGGTGGGCAGCGGCGGGTGGCTGCCACCCACACCCGCCGCTAGTCTAAAATCCGGTGGGTGGCGTGGGAGGGCAGGGGGTGGGTGGCGGCGACGGTACAGCAGCAGGCGGTGCAGGCGGGTGTTGCCCTCGCTGCCTGGCGGTACACACTGCAGGTACCCGTACTTCTCCAACAGTTCCTGAAGAAGTGTGACACACGAACTAATAGTATTGCTATAGCTTGTGTGTGCCCAACCACTTCACGCAGGTCGGCGTTCAATCCCCGACTGTCCGAGTGGTTGGGCACCATTCCTTTCCCCTCCGTCCTATCCCAAATCCTTATTCTGACCTCTTCCCAGTGCTATATAGTCATAATGGCTTGGTGCTTTCTCCTGATAGTTCCCTTCTCTTCATAGCTTGTGTTTACTATCATACTATCATGCATACAATAATCACCCACAGTCTACATGGAATGTATGGAATCATGATACCGGTCTCTCGGAAGATCTACTGGAAGTAAACAACCCCCACAAGACAGCTGTGATCAACAATGAACTATGCAAGCTCCAGATGGACGTGTCACCCTGCAGGAGACACGTCAGCCCACGACCGGCAGCATATGAGAGAAGGACTTTACTTTCTTTTGGCAGGGCAAACCACCAGAAGAGGTAAGGGAGCATGGAATTGGTTTCGTCATCAGAAACTGGTTGTTAGGGTCCATAGTACCGCCCACAGAGGGGTCTGCAAGAACCCTCAAACTTCAGCTTCACACAGCAGTAGGAAGGTCAGCCTCATCGACGTCTATGCACCAACACTGACCTCCTCTACCTAAATGAAGGATGAGTTCTATGATGACCTCGGCCTAACTCTCAGAGACATACCTCAACAAGAGCCAGTCTTCCTCCTGGGAGACTTCAATGCAAGAGTTGGTTCTGATCACAGCTCTTGGCCTTCCTGCCTGAGCCAGTTTGGATTTGGGAAGATGAATGAGAATAGGCAGCACTTCCTGGAGTTCTGCTGTCGTCATGATCTCTGCATCACCAATTTCTTGTTCGACACCAAGCCCCAGCACAAGGTTTCCTGGAGACATCCCAGGTCTAGCATTGGCACCAACTCGACCTGGTGCTTATGAGGTGTAGCAGTCTGAGAAGCGTCAAACTGACCCGCAGCTTCCAGAGTGCAGATTGTGACACCAGCCATTCTCTCGACGTTTGCAAAGTAAAGTTCCAACCCCGGAAAGTCCACAGAGCAAAGAAGAAGGGAAGACCATATATTAACGTAAACAATCCCATGCTCTCTACAAACAAGATCCACACAAGGTGGTGGAGTTCACTGCAGCGCTGGAAAATGCCCTTCCTGGACAACCCTGCAATAGTGCAAGTTAGAAGTGGTCACATCTCAGGGGAACATTTTCAACACAGCCATGTACACCTGTAAGAGGCAGAACAAGTCAGCAGACTGGTTCGAGGTCAGTGCAGAGGAACTGTTACTCCTCGTAGAGGAAAAGAGACGATCTTTCTCAGCCTACAAAAACTTGTCCTCAGAAAGGAACCTATAGGCCCTCCATACTGCCCGCAGTAAAGTTCAACAAGCTGCAAGGCGCTCTGCTAACGATTACTGGCTCTGACTCTGTTCCTGTATCCAGACCGCAGTTACCGTCGGCAACATAAACGGCATGTACAAAGGTATCAAACAGGCAACATGCCCTACACAAAACAGGACGGCTCCTCTGAAGTCAGCCACCGGAGAGATCATTAAAGACTGTGATCAGCAGATGAATCGCTGGGTGGAACATCACTCCGGACTCTATTCCAGAGAAAACTTGATCAGCATAGAATGCCCTGGATGCAATCGAATGCCTGCCCACCTTGGAAAAACTTTCTTGACCTTAAACCGACTGTGGAAGAAATTATGAAAGCACTGGATTCACTTTTCTCAAGGAAGGCCCCAGGAGACGACGGCATTCCGTCTGAAGTTCTCAAGTGCACTCGAGGAACACTTAAAACTGAGCTTCATGAACTTCTGTGCCAGTGCTGGAGGGAGGGCTTGGTGCCACAAGACATGAGAGATGCAAACATCATCACTCTCTACAAAAATAAAGGTCACTGAAGCGATTGCAACAACTATTGCGGTATCTCCCTCCTCAGCGTCGTCGATAAACTCTTCGCCAGGGTCGTTTTGGTCACGCTCCAGATTCTTGCTGAAAGAGTGTTCCAAAGTCACAGTGCGGTTTCAGAGCCGAGAAGTCGACCACTGACATGATGTTTTCCCTGGCTCAACTTCAGAACAATCCAATATCAACATGGGTGTTAAACAGGGATGAATCTTTGCTCCAGCCCTGTTCGGCATCATCTTCGTGATACTCGTCAAGCATGCCTTTGGAACAACCATAGAGAGCATCTATCTCCATACAAGATCTGATGGAAAGCTCTTCAATCTATCCGGAATCTGAGCGAAGACAAAATTACAGATGAGACTCCCTAGGGACTTCATCTTCGCCGACGACGCAGATGAACCCACACTCAGCTAAAAGCCTGCAGCAGCTATTCAACCACTTTCCCGTGACCTGTTTCACATTCGACCTGACAATCAGCCGGAAAAAGACACAGGCGATGGGACAAAACGTCAATGAGTTACTCTTATTTAAACATCACAGACTGCGAGCTGAAGGCAGTCCACGAGTTTGTGTACCTGAGTTCCACAATCTCAGACACCCTTTCCCTGGACACTGAGGTCAACAGGCATATCAGGAAGGTTGCAACAACATTAGCCAGGCTCACGAAGCATGTTTGGGCAAATGTCAAACTGACAGTGCACACTAAGGCGGAGGTTTACATGACATGTGTGGCAAGTACACTTCTCTATGGCTCGGAATCCTGGACCCTGCGCTCTCGCCAGGAGAGATGGCTCAATACCTATCACATGCAGAACTGAAACGCATCTTTGATATCACATGGAGAGACCAGATCAGCAATACAGTGCCCGAGAGAACAGGAAGTCCTTCAATGTTCATTCTCCTGAAGTAGAGATGCATGCGGTGACTGGGACATGTCACATGCATGGAAGATGGCTGCATACTGAAGGACCTCTTATATGGAGAACAGGTATCAGGAAAGAGGTGCACTGGAAAACCCAGCTGCGTTTCACTGGTGCCTGCAAACGCGACCTCAAGCAGATGAACATCAACATCAACAATTGGGAGGCAGCAGCTACGGACAGATCTGCCTGGAGATGCAGAGCGTGGAAGGGACTCCAGCAATTCGAAGGCGAACTGAAGAGGCAGGCGGAGGAAAAGAGACTTCAGAGGAAGTCTTGACCACTGACGGATGCAACCACTTTGGCCTTTATCTGCGCTCGCTGTGGTCGAGACTGCCATTCTTGGGTTGGAGTTCACAGCCACAGCAGATGTTGCACCCAACCAGACACCCAGAGCACAACTCCATAACTCCACGGGGTTGACGGATGCCTACTATTAAGAATTCTTGTATATATATACAAAACAATGTGACAGGCAGGCAGGCAGATAGACACACAGACAAAACAGGACAGGCAGGCAGACGGGCAGATAGACACACAGACAAACATACATTTGCTTTCATATATACAGATGTTCTCCTTCACTTCAAAATGAAGTTTACGAATTAACTTATGGAGTTCATTTTACTATTTTATTTGTCCTCACACATGTCGCTGAAGCCATGGTCTCTCTTTTAGATGTTGGACAGTAGAGTGATGGTCTCGCTTCATGCAGGTCGGTGTTCAATCCCTGACTGTCCAAGTGGTTGGGCACCATTCCTTCCTCCTGTTAAATCCCAAATCCTCATCCTGACTCCTTCCAAGTGCTATATAGTCGTAATGGTTTGGCACCTTCTCAGGATAGCTTCTCTCTCCTCTAGGTGTTCTATTTGCCAATTTTAACTTTGACTACTGAGGAGAACGTTCTTGTGGCCCCAGACCCCTAGAACCTAACGTCTACTAAGGGAACCAACGTATAAATGGGTCTTAATGCCAGGATTGAGCGCCCTGAGAGTTACAACCTTAGTGTTGTGGAGGCCCATGTCAACCTACCTCTCGCACACAGCTTAAGCTGGAAGTAGGTTGAGTTAGGCAAGTTCTTGTCAACAATGAACACTAATGGACAAGTTAAACAGATCATTAATAGCTAGATAGAACAGCCATACTACTCTGAAGGACACAGAGAGAAAGTATGAAAACAGTAATTAATGACATTAATAACAATAATAATATGTACTACACACTTACCTCTGCATGAATCAGCTCCTGATTTATACCCATCTTCTGTTGCGTGTTTTCCTCTGCATAGTTTGTGCTTTCACGTAACAGCGTGACTGGTGGCGAGGTGACTGGCAGTGTCATGTCTGGATGTGTGGTGACTCGTATTGTTGTATCTGGTCGTGAGGTGACTGGCAGCGTCGTGTCTGGATGCGTGGTGACTCGTATTGTTGTTTCTGGTGGTGAGGTGACTGGCTGCGTCGTGTCTGGATGCGTGGTGACTCGTATCGTTGTGTCTGGTAGTGAGGTGACTGGCTGCGTCGTGTCTGGATTTGTAGTGACCGGTATCGTGGTGTCTGGTAGCATCGTGTACTGTCGCGTGGTGTCTGGCAGCATGGTGTACTCATGCGTGGTGTCTGGTAACATCGTGTATTCATGCGTGATGTCTGGTAGCATGGTATATTGATGCGTGGTGTCGGGAAGTGTGGTGTCAGATAGAGGAATGTTTGGAAGTGTGTTGTGTTGGGTGGCGGGCCCCCAAGCTCTGCCCACCACTCCCACTGCGACCGCAAGGCTCCACCACAACATCGGTCCCAGGCGCATCTGGACACACAGAGAATCCTTCATATATAATCATATTAATAATTAATATATATAATAATTTCATATTTTATATTATTCTTATCACCACAGTTCATTCTAATTACTGAAAGGTATATTGAATGAATATACGATGACTTCTATGTCAAGCACCCTGTGTTTGGTGTTATGAATCCCAGGTAGCCTAATGAGACAGGTTTGCCTCCGTGAGAGTTATTCCACACTTGACTAGATTAAAGGAATTAAACCGAGCAAACGTAAGTAGTTACGACTAAGGAAAAGGAGCAGAGGCAAGCATCTTAAGGAAACAGAATAGGATAAGATGTCGACAGTATGTTATGAGACGTGACGTGAGCGGAGGTCTTAAAGAGTCACTCGAGTTGTCAGGGACAGACTTACGTCGTTGCCTCCTATGAAGAAGGAAGTTTGTAGCTCATGGTGAAGAGTTTGAGAGAAAACTGCGTGATCACGGTGTGGGGACGCTGTTTGATGACGATGTGCATCGTATCTCTTTAAGTTTTGCCCCGAGGGGCGAGTTTATTGGGGAGTGCCAGTCATCTTGTGAGTGGACATACCACCATAGCAGCATGTACAACACCCCCCAATAGAAAGAAACCCCGCTGGGTTGTTCATCCTGTCACTTGTACCCAGACACAGCTCGGACTTGCTTAACTGTCTCAAGTGAACAGCTTATCAAACAAAAAAATTAACATTTGTCAACCCTTAAAAACTTACGTTATCTTGCAGGCACAAAATGGGGGAATCTTTTAAGAACAGTATCTATATTTGACAAATAGTATTTTTCCATAACTTAAACAATGTGGGGGTTTATTATTCTATTCATATTTCTAATAACAATTAGATGTTCACATTCTCTCAGGTAGTGGTCAAGGCGGTGTCTGTTACTCTCACCACTGATTCTGAAACTCCGTTGCTGTTATTTCCATTCCTAATCTCCATGGATATTTGCATCCAAGACGGATTCTTGCTATTTCTGACTCTTTCCTCACGGTCCCCTTTCACTTCGTTGTTACAAACCCGATTCCATCGTCGGAGCCTGGAGCAGCGACGTCAATGCCATCTGTGAGTCAGCTCCCGAAACCCCCACAAATTGGACAACGCCATCTAGTGGTGACAGGATCATACCAGCAAGAGGCGCTAGAATCCTATCCTAGTCAGCTCGAGAGGTAGCTGGTGCTGACCTCTGGTGAGGTGGTGCCTAGAAAATCAGCGCCATCTGTTATAGGAAGAGTTGTATGTCTGTCAGAGTACGTAAGTGATGTTTCCTAGTGTCCCATGTACTGACCAGTGTACTGATGAGGTGTCAGTATCCACAGAGTCGACGTAGGGCTGCTATGGTATAAGGACAGTCTACCCAGGGCTGCTATGGTACAAGGACAGTCTACCCAGGGCAGCCAATATATCTCTACTCCATTCTGCTTTATGGAAGCAATGAGCCGCCGCCGGAGAAGAACTGTGTAGTTTTCTACTGTCTGCCTGTGAAGTGGCAGTGACAGAATTCAGCGTACCCAGGACTGGCTAACAGAAGAGACGACTGACAGTAAGGTGCTACGGAGGAGCGTAACCAGCGAGTTGCAAGAAGCTCCTGCCAAGGGTTCGCTACCCTTGTAATTGTACGTGAAGAGGCCCAGCAGCGCGAGGCTGATGTTCACTGCCAGCTCCAGGCTGGAGAGTGATTACGGGTGTGCACCAAGAACACCTGGTGAGACCGTGTTTTGCTTGGCCCATGGCTAGGGTAGACTCATTGGTGTTTCCCAGTACTGGTTGAGGACGGTACTTGTGTTGAGGAAACGTGGTAGCTGACAAGACTGCATCGATTGAGCATCGAGGAGCGCTTAGTGTCCTATGAGAGAGACACTTGTGTACATATTAAGTGTAGTAATACTTCTTCTAGAATTATATATGAGGTAATGGGAAAGTGATTATATATGAATATATTGATAATTAATGAAGTGTAGCATTCAATGCACCTCCCCCATTGTGTTGTACTTGCATTGCCGAGCTCACTCCTTGAAAGCCACTACTAACTTAGGGCTGGATACCAGAACTTTAGTTCCACCAGCAAAGAACCCGGTTACGACCCATTGTGGCCGTAATGATTGGGATTGCCAGCTGCAACCATGTTGTACCAGCATACAGATTCACTCATTTGTTCTTCTATCCTCCTTTCCTCAGTAACCTTGTCATGGTGATATTGACTGATGATACCTCTAATTTGTAGGAATCTTGGGAATGAAGCATTTAATATGGTCTCCTTCAGCAGCCAGTACATCTGTTTGTTCATTTCCACAGATTCCAACTTGGGAGGGGATCCACAGAAATTTGACGACTCTTCCCTGATTGGTTAGTACCCTCATGGCTATCTTGATTTCAGTAACTATCGCAGGATTTTCAGCCCGATTTAGATTAAGGCTTTATAGCACTGCTTTTGAATCAGTGCAGTGATCTGAGCACTGATTCAAGATGACCCATCAGTATAGATTTGATCTAAACCATTTCCAGCTTCTTTATAGATTTCCTCAAGATAATTGGGCCTCATTTCTTGTGGTATCATGTTGGACTTTTTCGTTGCCATTTCATTTATGATAATCCTGTATGAGTCATCCTCCCAGGGAGGTAACCTCTCTACAGGCAGGAGCTCACGGGCTTGCTCAAGCAGGTGAAGTTCTTCGAGGTGGCAGACTGATCTGTGATGCCATTTTTTTGCTTCTGTTTCCTCCTGTAAGTAGGAAGGACGGAAAACTCCTCTCGTAGATAATACGTTTTGGCAGTTCTTCGGACTCCAAGATCACTCTTGGAGTCATGACTTTGTTTTGTATGTTTTCAAGTTTTTCATATCGGTTTGGGAGTAGGTGCACAAAACTGGTGCGGCATAGTCTATAACAGAACGCACATAGGCAACATAGAGGACACGGCGAACCTCCAGTCAGATGTAGATCAGGTCTTTCAATGGGCTACAGAAAATAATATGGTGTTTAACGAAGATAAGTTCCAGCTCATGCGTTAGGGAAAAAATGAAAATATAAAAACGGAAACCATGTACAAAACTCAGGCAAATCATAACATAGAACGAAAAGGCAATGTAAAGGATCTGGGTGTACTCATGTCGGAAGACCTTACCTTTAAAGAACACAATAAAGTAGTCGTCACAACTGCAAGAAAAATGACAGGTTGGATAACAAGAACTTTTCACACTAGAGATGCTATACCGATGATGATACTTTTCAAAACGCTTGTGCTCTCTAGAGTGGAGTACTGCTGCACAATGACAGCCCCTTTCAAAGCTGGAGAAATTGCTGACCTGGAGAGCGTGCAGAGATCCTTTACTGCTAGAATCCACTCAGTAAAACATCTAAATTATTGGGACCGACTAAAGAGCCTAAAACTGTACTCCCTTGAGCGCAGGCGGGAGAGGTACATAATAATCTACACGTGGAAAATATTAGAGGGGCTGGTCCCAAACCTGCACACAGAAATAACATCACATGAGACCAGAAGACATGGCAGGATGTGCAGAATACCCCCGTTGAAAAGCAGAGGTGCAACAGGTACTCTGAGAGAGAACTCTATCAACATCAGAGGTCCGAGACTGTTCAACACGCTTCCACTACACATAAGGGCCATAACTGGCCGACCCCTCACAGTGTTCAAGAGAGAACTGGATAAGCACCTCCAAAGGATACCTGATCAACCAGGCTTTGACTCATACGTCAGGCTGCGAGCAGCCGCGTCCAACAGCCTGGTTGATCAGTCCGGCAACCAGGAGGCCTGGTCGACGACCGGGCCGCGGGGACGCTAAGCCCCGGAAGCACCTCAAGGTAACCTCAAGGTAAGGCTGTGTTCATCATTTTAAGCACAGCAATAGAGGCTCCATGTCCATTCCAGGTCCTAGCTTTCAGTACCCTGAGTCGACTTTTGCATGTTCCTATGAGCTGGTTCAGCTCCTCTTTCTTCCCCTTGTGAGAGCCGACAGAGACTCCAAGGTACCGATAGTGGTCAACCCCATTCAAGTGTTACACCATTACTTTGTAGTTCTTCATTTTCTCCCTGCTTGTGATGGGAGTATGCTTTTGTCTTGTTTGTGAAGGGAGTGAAACCGAGTTCAACACATTTCCTTCCAAGGAGTTCAAGGGGACTGCTTAAATTTTTCCCAGGGTGGGAGCTTGTATTAGGACATCATCTGCATATCTCACTTGTTGTGTTCCTTCCGGAAATTCAATATTTGCAATGGCGTTCATAAATGTGTTGAATAGTGTGGGGCTTAAGACTCCTCCTTGGGGGGTACCAAGTTTCATGTTCACTGTTCTTGAGACTGCTCCATTGAAGCAAACCTTGGCTTTCCTCCCTGTGAGGTAGTCTTCAACCCATTTCAAGAGTCTCTCCCTGACACCCATGCATGCAAGCTCGTCCAAGATCGCAATCCCCTGTGCTTTGTCGAAGGCTCCTTTGATGTCAACAAATACAGAGTACCTAGCCGTGTCATTAGCCAAGTAATTAACTATACAATTTGCTGTGCTCCGTCCTTTAACAAATCCATTGACCCCCTCCTCTAACCTGCCTATTTTGTGCAACAGTCGGTTTAGGATGATCCTTTCAAGCATCTTGCAAGTGGATGACACGAGACTGATAGGTCTGTAATTGCCAGGGTCATTGGGCTTCGGTATGGGGGACAATTGTTGCATGTTTCCATCGCGCGGGCTATAACATGGATATGACCACAAGATATAAGATACTGTGGGGGAATACACAAGATGAACAAGGCCAGCCAATTTAAATTGAGAGGAAGTAAGTCAACAGAACATAAGTGAAGGCTGGAAATGCAAATGAGTCCAAGAAATGTGAGGAAATTGTCGTATTGTTTAAGGGTGATGACCAAGCGGGATGCTGCACTAGAACACACAGTCGTTTGTTGCCCACTTATTTGTAATTGCTGTCTGCAATTATTGTTATGAATAAAGAGATCGACTCATCATAAATTTAAT